GTTGCTACTTATCTTAGTATCTTACGGTTAGGGATCTGTGTTGATCGTAACTCTTTACATACAGTGCGTATTCTGTGCCCAGATGTTGATATTGATTAATTGAAATTAAAATGTCACATCCGTGTCAAACGTGTGTCCAGTTGTTTGTTGCGATGGTAAAATGTTACATCCAGGGGCCTGCGCGCAGATGTTGATATCGATCGTCGATCGTAAAGGTCAGAACCGTCCTTGGCATCCAGGGGTTTTATATTTGTACCTTTATATTGTCGCTATGTAACGGTGATGATTTACATAAGAGGGTTTTGAATAAAATGTCATGGCAGTTTTATAAGGGTCTGTTCCCAGCTATTGATAATGATCCCAGGGGTTTTATATTTGTAGGCTATATTGTCGTTATGTAACGATGATGATTTACATAAGGGGGTTTTGAATAAAATGTCATGGTAGTTTTATATAAGGGTCTGTTCCCAGCTATTGATAATGATCAGTAAATTTTTCATTTATGTTTTGTTCTGGTGTACTTTTATCAAATAATCCTCCTTTAGGTAATGATTATTACTTAATAAGTTGTTTTTTCAATCAGTTTCATTTAAACACATAGACTACATATTTAATTTTTCATCGCAACTAGTTCGGTTGCTACTATCGATATCAACTTCTTATCTGCTATGAACGGATCAACGGATTATCTGCTATCGTTGGGAGCTAGGCCAAAGTAAATCTTTTTTTTTTATTTTACGCTTACGATGTTTCCCTTTTCGTCTGATCTGTATAATTATTATTTTTTTCTCTGGCATTCAGTTATTAGGTTACTTTTCTTGGTTAAGTCACTGCTGCATTCTCCGTTAGTTCGAACCACAAACTCAGCCATTCAAATTCAGCCACACAAATTATGCCGCAAAACCTCAGCAAGATATCAGCCACAACCTTAATTCAATCATAACTGCAACTACGCCCTTTTCATCCGTGTAATTCAACGTGATTTTACACCTATTTTATTATTCAAATTTATAATTTTGATTAATAACTTAAATTAATTCAATTTCTACTCTGCGTTTGAATTGTCTACTTCGCTCCACTGTTAAACGCTGGAGGTTACAACAGGGTCGTTAATTATTGATAGTTTTGACATCACTCAAAAATAAAAATTCATAAATTTCCAAATGTAACTTTCACAAGATTAACCTTGTTATTACAAATAGGACCAACAGAGGAATTACAAAGCGAGACGCGTTTCAATTTATTGGCTGTTCTAATGGTTTTATACGGCATCTGATATAAAACTCTCAAAATGAGATATAGCACGGACTGAGCTTCCAAAGTCTCAAACGCACTGATATTAGTCGACATGAACTTAACAAAGAAGCTAGTGATGCATGAGGTTATAATGAGATGCTGTGTAAAACTTTTAGATGATTCATAATAGACAGACATTATTCCCTTCCATTGCAAATGGCCAGCGGGGTTTTGCCTTGATTTTTGTGTTCGTTTTGGAGTTGAAGTTCGAACTGCATATCGATGAAATCACCTCCATTCTGTTCAAAACCTTGAATTAAATTGTTATAGACATTTTTCACTACCCAGAGACCTTCTCCTCCACTGATAATGTCAACAGGCACTTGGTGCATCTTGACTGTCTGGTTGAATAGACGCGTTCACTGAAGCAGTTGACAGGTGCGGTAAAAGGACGCCCCGTTAAATCACTGAAAAACAAAGAAAAACCTGAAAAGCACTCAAGCAAGTAAACAACTCAAGCCCTTTTGATCGATTGATAACCTTTGTAAAGTTTCGCAAATATATATCTCAGTGTATCATAGACTCACTGCATCTCGAACAGTGGTTCATTTGACCTATAGTTGTTTACAAAATCTTGTGCGACTGGAAACTATTCGTTCTTCCCTCGTTTTATGATCTCGTTTGCTTCATCTAAAGACACTGTTTTGCCGTATTTTGACAAACCCATAAGGCGAGTCAAAATACAAACAACGAGTAAAAACACTCAGCGATACTACATAACAAAATATCTAATAAGAGATGTATTTATCATGGGTCACGTAACCCTTTCTTTGGGGTGTTGCATGGTATGTTGCTGAATATTCGAGCTGTAGTCATTTATATTCATTCGCGTCTGACGACCGTCTCTACGCCCTTCAAATTCAATACCCAGTGACTAAGGATGGTCAGTTTCTCTTAGAGTAGATTTGGAAAGAGTACCATATAACCCCATACATTAATTATGCATTCAATTTCATTAATTATATATGCACCCCATTGTTTTTAAGACAATGACTTATTCCCACGGGTTTAGCATATATACATTACTAATAAGTACTTACTGCTTCAATAAAAGAGAAATTGATTGAAAGCGGCTTTTTCGTCTCCATTCCTTTCTCACGTTCTTCTCCCTTCTCCCCTTCGTTCCTAACTTCTCCTCGGTTTTTTTTTTG